GGATCGTCGAGGGTGAAGGATTTTGCTGCTGCCCGTGTGTGTGGCCACTCCGGCAGAGGGCGAACGCAAACGGGAGGGATGCAGGCGCTGCGTGTGTGTGTGCAGGTGCCATGCAACAACGTCACAAGAAACATGCTGCGACTCGGTGACCCTCACATCGTTGTGGTCCTCACGAACAGCCGAGGTACGGCCCACATCGATGCACTTAGTGGACGGAGTGAGGCATCTTTTGAGGCGCTGCAGGGAGCAGGATGTGTTGGCGCAGCCACGACGTGCATGGAGTGTCACGATGGCACAGTCAGCTGTGGCTGGTGGAATATTTACTTCTCGGAGGCAACAGAGAGAGAGAGCTGCTGCTGCTGCTGGCGTCGTTGCTGCCTTTTGTGGCTTCCCATGCCGATTATTGTCTGTCCGCTGATCATGGGTGGCATGCCTCCACTAGTGACGTCGTCTGCAGGCATTTCACAGCACCAGTGAAACACACATCACGTCGCATGCTTTGGCTGTGGATATGGTGTCGTGCATGCAGCCGGCATTATTTTGCCCGACTCCTTTTCACTGTCTTGCGACAAATAGATGCGTCGCCGCCCGAGTCATTCACTGCAGCTCCGTGTGCTGTGCTGCCAGCACAATACTCTCTTGTTGTCTGGCGCCTGGCTGACAGTCAAGCACCACTGCGTTGGGACATGCAAGGATGTGGACTGCCGCTCACGGTGTTGGGCACCGCTGTTTGGATGCGGCGGCCACACGAGCGGATGTATTGTGGCACAATCAAATGCGTGAAATACGCGGAATCACAGCGGCTGCAATATTATCGACGGTGTGGCACCACGGGGAATGTGTGAGGGGGTGATGCATGATGAATCACAGTGGGCGGCATGCGAGGGAAGTGCACCGCGACGGAGCGTCACCCCGCCCTCAGCCTGCAGGGGAATGTACACCCACAAAATATATGGACGAGACACCACCAAACAGACATGCCCTTCCATGCACCAATAAATGGGAGCGAAGGTGCGCTCTGGTGTGTGGGAGTCCACTCACATATTATTTATTTCCACCGCAATAAACGGTGAGGAATCATGTGCCACAGCAACGAAGGAGGAAATAAAAACATCTATTGCAGCACCTTACCAGCGAAAAGCAGGAACAACACAAATTGAATTATTGGCTGCACCAACACAATAAAAATTCTCAAGAGAAGAAAACAGTTGTGCACACTGCAGGAACCCCCAACACACGATGCAGGCATGACGGTTTACCCTCCGCAAAAACAATAACAACATATGCAGGCATCTTCCATCCTCCAAAAAGAAACACGAATAAATGGCTGACTT